TTTAATGCATCATTTTAAATGACGAATGAATAATTTTAGGCTGTATTATCTCAACGAGCAAATTATCTTTCAAAATCACTTGATAAAATTCAAAATCGTGATGAAAAATGTACAATAACAGATCAAGATGAATTTTTAAATAAAGCACAACAAGGTATAAAACGTACATTAGCCAATGCATTTCTTGATCAACATTCATCAAATAATAATCGTCGTGAACGTCGTCAAACACATCAAAGTATATAAATTTTCAAAATGAAATTTTTGAAAATAAATTTTCATAATTAATTTAGAACATAATAATATAACTTGTCGAGAATTAAGACAAATGGGTTCAACAATATCTGCTCTTTCAACTGATGAAATATCATCAATTCCTGATAATACTGTATATCAATGTGTTGATACATTTGGTTCAGTCAATGATTATGAATCAGATAAACGTCAAAGAATTGCTCAAAAATATCTTCAAGTTTAAATAAAATTATTTCAAAAAACAAAAATGTTTTTTTTTTTTTTCATTTCTATTTTGTTAGGCATTACAAAGTCAAGGTCGACATATTCAATCATTAGGTCAATCAGAATTATATAAATTAAATTCAATTTTACCTGGTTTTACTTCAAGTGAATTATCACAATTACGAAATGAACATTTTCATGATGGAAATTTTCTTTCAGCTATTGGTAATCTTGATGGTTGGACAGGAGATCAAGTAGAAAAATTTTTCTTTTATACAAAAAAAAAAAAATAATTGAAAATTTTTATTTATTTATATTTCTAGTTAAAATCTTTATCACAACTTACACTTGGTAAAGAACAACGTTTAACACCATCAATTATTGAAAATGCTGGAAAAATTTTATGTACTATTGATGAACATATTCTTCGTCTTATACCATCAGAACAAATCAAGTAAAATTAAATTATATTCATTGAGACAAAAATAAATTGTATTTTTATATTCTCATTATATAGATCTTATCTTACTATTTTGGCGAATATTAAATGTCCAACGGAAGGAGGTGTTAATTATGCATCAACAATGTTTGATATTGTTAAAAATGCATATCAAAATGATCTATTTCGACCAGATATTTTTGGTTCATTGGGTACAATTGCTGGTAAGAATTGATATATAGAAAAAGAAAAAAAAAAACAAACATTTGATTTTTATTCTTTTCTTTTGTTTTTTTTTTGTAAAGCTGGTTTAAAATCAACTGATCTTGGTTCATTAACACCAGAATTATTTAATTTTTTTCCTAAACAAGCATTATCAAGTTTACCAAAAGAAGTTTTTAAATCATTTACTAATGATCAATTACAAAATTTAAATATTGAACAAATTAAAAGTATACCAACTGGTTTACTTAGTGCATTAAGTGGAAAACAAATGTCAATTCTTAATCAAATACTTTATCCATTTAAAACATCAGGTTAGTATTTGAATGATTTTCTTTTTTTCTCTTCTAGAATTTTTGTTTGTTTTAAATAATTTTATAAATCTCATCATCAATATAGACGAATCTATCAATTTCATTGAAAAATCAACTAGTAGTGATAATGTATTGATCGAGAGTGGTATGAATATATAATGAATTCTATGCATGAAAAAAAAAAGGGGCAAACAAATCAATATCGATTCGATTCTTCTTTCCTTTTGAGTTAATTTAAATCTTTATAAATTTTTGTTTTTGAAATAAATAAATTATACAATGTTTTTCTTTTCTAGGTGCAATTATGAAAAATACATATTCAAACGCAATTATATGGATTTTATCTCTAATTTCAATTATTTTTATTTATCAATTTAATTCAGTTTGAACTATATAAGAGAAAGACAAAGACGATCATTGCTTAGCAATATTTCTTCTTATTTTATTTTTTACATAGTATAGCATGTTTGTTTTGTTCAATTTCTTAATATAATGTTTACGTCTGTCTATGTGTGTGTGTGTGATGCTAAGGCTTTTCTCTTTTTTCATATCTGTTAGAACAGTATGTGGCTTCTTGTTGCTTGTCTATTGACTAAAGAAAATAAATATCGTGCTAGTTAGAAATGTTATAATTTACGAGAAATTATATGTTTTTATTTTGATGATTATTTTTTCTTATAGTGAAGGTTAAAAAATATATTGTCAATACAATCAGAAAAATCAAGGTCTAATAGTCATTTATATTTAATGTGATAGAAAACATCCAACATTATTGATGCATGAATTGTATGAATACAATATTTAGGCGCATAAATGCATGAAACAAAGAAATGAGTAAAAATAGACTTTGCTCCAAGCAAATATTTGCTTGAGGAAAATAACAAACAATAATCTTTGAACGCTTTAATTTAAAAGCTGGTCAAAATACTTTAAGTCCTCGAAATGAATATCAACTACTTTTATTCTTGATAATAATTTACAAACAACAACTAAAAAATGATATAAACATGCGTTTTGCGTATTCTATCACTCACCAGTTGTATTTTTCATGTAGCGATGATGTATAAGATATGAGATTTGACAATGAATATGACAAGGTTAAAAAGAAAAAGTAAGATATCATATTCTGTAAATTGATATCTCTCATCACTAATAAACTTACATTGATAAGACATTATTTTAATCAATAAATATAAAATAAATGAAACTATATGTTTTTTTTTCTTTGATATCACAACCGAATGTCTTGAGAGAATTTACCTTTCAATTCTACACAAATTGATGAAAAAAAAACAAGAAATCTGTATCAGATTTAATTTATCGATAGAAGTACCGTTTATTACTTCTGTTGTACAGCGTAGAGTCAAATAAAACTATTCATCAATAGACAAACCTAGAATTATGTTTAGATAGACATTTATTCTCTGAAATATATGCCATGATTTAATACAATTACGACAAAAAAAAAAGAATTAAGATCATGTTTCTCTTGTGATGCTATTAATGACACTAAAAGTTTTATACTAGATTTCAAAATTTAGACACAAAGCAATGGATCGAGTTACTTCATTAAAATTGATTGTATCTATTTTCATTATGCTCAAATTTTGATTGCATTCTATGTATGAATTACCTTACTTAGGTAAATATGTTCAATGTAAGATTATTTTTCGATTATATTTTTGTTTTTATCCAAAATCAAAATGGATATTAACAATCATATATGCCGCTAAGCGATGTAAATATGTTTTCAACTTGGTTACTACTCAACACTATCAAAAATCTTGAGTTAATTTACTCACCAGTATTCTACAAGGTGTTCGACAATAGTATGATATGCTTTAAAAAATCTACAGTGCAGTTGTCAAACTGATTTATTCGCTGAACTTCTCATATTAGACAGAGAATTTCATATGCTAATCCAAATGAGCTATATTGATCTTCATGTAGGTTTATTTTGATGAATGTAGATGATATGCTTTTCTCTGTTTTTCCATGAAACAACTATACTAAATTGGTCTTCAATCTATAATTTTGCAATTATTTGTAAATCAATTCTGACATATCATCTTCTAAATATCAAATTTTTTTTCCATAGAATTAAATACAATCAATTTTTTAAATATAATTATTTGTTTAACGTGTATTTCAAAGAACAAAAGCTACAAACTTATTCAATTGTGTTCCTTTATTTTAAAACATTTATTTGATATTCATTCATCTTAACAATGAATTTTTTTTCAAATCGACCAGATACATCTGTATGATATATGGAAGTTGATTTACATAATTGACTTTGAATATCATTTTTTATCATCATATTTAACATACATCTTCTAATGAAAGTGATGAAACTAATTAAAGTCGATCTTACACATTGACTCTTTTTCAGATATATATATTTTCATAGCACATTATTTCAATCGAAATCCAACATTAGGTTTGTCGATCCATCGTTCCAAAACTATTCTAACAGTTTTACATGGCCAAAATTTGACTATCGATAACATTAGGATGAATAAATATGATGAAAATTGCTTGCCTCTACAATATCACACTAATAAAGAGAATATTTAATACATTTGGTAATGATAATTGATTGTTTTTCTTGTTTTACACATTCGAAAGATATTATATTGTAGCATTCTGTTTTGATTTAAGTTTCTTCTGAATTGATAAATTTTTAACATTGCTAGTAGTCCTTAAATAACACTTACCATTCATTTGAAAATAACTATTCGTTCATTCAAACCTATCAAAAGAAAATTATTCTTTAATCTTATAACAAAAACTTATAAATGATCTCCAAAATCTCATCATATATATTTAAGAAAATTCCTTAATATCAATAAAAAGTTAGATTGAATATGTCTACGCTTTACTCTTGTTTGAACATTTATAGATTTCTATTAAACTTGCACATGCCAATGCATTTTTTTTTTTCTAATTATGTTTATTCATCTAACACATATTATTTATTGTACAATTATTTACACTTTCTTTATCAAGAGATTTACTATATTTTCGCGACTAATATGTACAAAACATTTTATAACAGTATTCTAACACATGGCAAAAAATCAATAAATTTGTTCTAAAAGAAAAAGGATATTAAAAGTTGGCTCAAAATATTTTGAGTTCTAAGATGATCAACATATTTATCAGCCAATCTAATATCAACATCGTTCGATTACTAAATATGGCTGCATAGATGAGTGTAAAGTTTTCTAAATGCATGCGTCTTATAATAATTGTTATGTTGTTTTATACTTTAATCATAAGAGTACTTGTTATTCAAAGGAAATCTTTCGTATTGACAAATTCTTTTCATCTCATAATATGTTTTTGCATGAATATGTTTATCAAGTTTAAATACCTAAAGGTAATCTTTAATATGCAATCGTTTCTATTGAAATAGTATCAACTGGTATAGCCTATCTAATTAATGTAATGTCATATGCATACATATATATATAGATGCATATGTGTGTCGCAAAAGAATTATTCTATTGATATCTTTGTTGTTTGTAAGGATGAAAAACTCCATGATGCTATGTATGCTATTCATGACTCTCGTTTTGGTTGTCTACTCCGAAGCAATATATGACAATGATGAGGAATCATTTCGAATGAAAATTCGTCAAATAGAAGACGACGACGAAGAAGAAGAAAATGCTCCATTTAATAATTCAGAAGATGATGATAATGATGAAAAGATCGAAAATGTTCGTCGAAAATTTTCACCATGTGAACCTTGTGGCTTGTTACGTCGTTCTTGTTGTTTTCCAAATTTATGTCAACATCGATCTGGTCAAATAAGCCAATGCCTCAAAGTATAATTATATTATTCAAAAAACAAAACTATTTCTACTAATAACATATATGTATCAAATTTCTGTACGCCTTAGAAAGCAAAATTAAACAGTTTATCATCTTCGAAACGATGTTTATATAATGTGAAATTTTTATTTCATAATAAAAATCGAGAAAAATTTTATAATTAGCATCTTTTGTTATACATATATTTTTATCTTTAAGATTTGAATCATATTATCATATATGTCTTTATTACATCAACGAGACAATTTCTTTTTTAAAGTCTACGAAATCCAATCATCAATGGATAATATTTGATAAAAAGTAATGAAATTTGTAATAGTATATAAACGATAAGTGTGACAATAGTTCCACTAAAATTCAGAGCTCAAGATGACGACTAATCGAATATTATGAGTACGTTGCTACGCATCGTAAAATCAGTTTGAAGAAGAGAATTCATAACTAGCAGCTGTAAAAATGTTTGATTCGACGTACTTGTAGTTATATGCATGTTGCTAATACTTTCTCCATCTGATATTAAATGGTTAACGATTTTTCCTACTGTTCATGAGTAATATATCGATTGTTCAGCGTAACATTAGAAAAACATGCATGATGCATTGTGCAAATTTATCAAACAGAAATTTGATAAAATGTCTTGTCCTAGATGACCTTTAGCTCAATTGATTTGCATGAAGAAACTGAAGGTAAGTACAATTGTTAAAAGACTATTTAGCAAGATTTTGTAATTCTTTTTCCAATTGTCAATCGAAATTTGAACTTATCTGAAAAATTTTTAAAATACTTGAACGAGTGTTACTATAGATAAAAATACGGTAACCTCAACTTTCATTGAAAGTACGAATACCCAAAAAGAATTCTATGATAATAAAAAGTAAAAGTCAGAAGGACTATTTCGGAAAATATCATTATTGCATAATCAATATCAGCTTATTGGATGTATGATTCAAGAGAACACATACTCATCCACACCCTAATTGCAAATTATTATAATAGAATAAATTCTTGTATTTATTGAAATCACACAAATATTTACAATTCAATCAATTTTATAAAAGCAGAAGAAAAACATGTACAAAATGCAATCATCTTCTGGTTCATCGAAGCAGAAAAATAAACTATCAAGAGCATTGTCAAATTAAATAAACATGTTGTATAATCAATATAATAATTATTTTATTACATCATTGGATCTCTCTCAACAGCTTGTCTTTTATTATAAGATAAAAAAACATATATGAGTGTACAATAAGAACATTATCTAAGATTGATATATTAATATTTCAAAGTAGATTTTGCTTGTGTTTCATTCTTTCTTTTTTTAATATAATAAACATTTGATTCGAATTTATCTGCTCGAGGTTTTTTTAATTTTCTAAATGAGAAAATATTCTCAACAGATTTCTCTTCAGTTGTCGACATTTTTTACTTTCAATCAATGTTGAAACAATCAAAAATATGTCGTATGTATTTCGTTAAAGGAACAGAATACAATATATATATATATATATATATACAACATAAAAATAGAAAATAACTACTAAATACTTTTAGTTTTTGTTAGTATAGGAACAATCAATTAATATTAATTACAGTTAAAATACTAAAAATAGAACTTATCATATCAACACAAGTTCCTATTTAAAAGAAAATTGATTCGTACTCTTGCAAGTTACCTGATGTATTTCATTAACAGTAGGTACAATAGAGTATAACATTTTATTTATATTCTTTAGCAACTTTTGTCTAATATTTTATTTTTGTTGGTATAAAAATAGAATAAAACTTTTACGACTACTTGAATATTAATCTATCTTTCAGAATTTCTAACTAATAACTTTTGACGAATGAAAGAATTTATCAAAGTTTTTTTCAAAATTCTTAATATATGTAATTTGACACACGTCGTAAAATTGATAATCGAAAAATCTTTTTATTCGAATCGAACATATACTAACTATCAAAATTATCCAAACAGTAGATTATTTTTATTTTGTATATCTTAAAACCTAGATGAGATAGAACCATCTGGTTTTCATCAGATTACAATCCATAATATCTCGTATACTAGGAAAAGAATCTAAGTCAAACAATTGACCTATTTAATGTTTGTTGACGATACAATAAAAGTATGTTGTTTTTCATATGTCCCAAATTATCCAAACCCTTATTTTGCCAACTGGTACACATCTATTCTAAGTATAAATTATCTTTACGATATATGATTCAATGAAACAACTTGTACTCTACGTATGGAGTACATTTTGTTGTAGTCTTCCATTGAGTATGGGTTTAAAAATAATGGTTTTTTAGTTTACATCGGAATTTTTTAATAATAAAGCGATGAAAGACTTTTCTCATATAATGTTTAACTAATTTATTGTTGAACATAGTATTAACATCTGAAATATTCTACTTTTATTGATAGTTCATGTTGGAAAATTATGTTGACCATTTCCTATGTACAGATAAATCACAAGTAGACTTTCTTGTACGATCTTATTTATGTATTGAAGGAGGTACAAAAAATTGTTTTAAGGGCATGTATTTGTAGCGAATCTTTATTCATAAAATATGGTAACATTTGAAGTCAAAACCGGTTGTATCACTTAAGTTCTATAGCTTTGTTACGTTATAAATAGCAGAAGTAAAAAGTTCAACGTAATTCCAGCAGTAAACTCGATATGTATCCTATCAAACAAAGATGTATCAAATGAAGTTTAAAATAGTACGTTAGTTCTAAATTTTGTCCTCTATGTAAATAAACACGACGTGCAAAAATTGGTTATGTAGTATTTAACGAAATCTGCACTTATTCTATTGCTAGAACTACGGTAAACTACTTACTCCTGCTAGTTATAAAGCAACAAATAGAAGAATTCGTACGAATAAAGATTCCCTAAAACTCCACGCTATTACAAGTATTTTTAGACTTCCTTCAATGCATGAATAAGATTGTACAAGAAGATCTGTCTGTGATTAGCCTACACATATACGGAACAGACAACATTACTTTCCAAAATTAATAATGAATCGACAGAATTAGAATATCTAGTGCGATTTGTATTAGTGTTACTAATGCTAAATTGAACAATAAATTGGACAAAACAACATATAAAAATAGTCTTTTGTTTCGTTTTTATTGAAAGTTTCCGATACAGACTATAAAGAAACATTATTATTAAACTCATATTTAAAAGAAAAGCTACAATAGAAAGTACTTTTTTCACATAGAGCACAGCTTGTTCTATTGAATCATGTATTATTAAGTTAATTTAAACTTAGAATAGATGCGCGTCAGTTTGCAAAACAATGTCGTTGGATAATTTTGAAAGGATACAAAGTGACATGATAAGATTCTATTGTCAATAAAAATTAAACAGGTCAATGGCTTCATCTAAACTTTTTTACTAGTATGCTAGAGACTATAGATTGTTATCGGATGAAAACCAAATGATTTTAGCTTATCTAATTTTTAAGATATAGACAAAAAAACATAAATTAATCTGCCAGTTGGACAATTCTAGCAGTCTCCGTATAAATTAAGTACATATTCTATTGACAATAGTATTAAAATTTATCTTAGTTGTTTCAATCAACATTCGACACATGTGAACTTTAGATAAGAATAATCTTTTAAAGGGCTTTGTATTATCTGCATATTTCCCTTGATATGCAAAACTCACCTTAAGAAATTTAGTCATGGTTTTTCTACGTTCTATACATTTGAAATTATAATTATACTCAAAAATCACTTTAAAGATGAAAGTTACTTTGCATTAACTATTTATCTTAAACAAACATTGCAATTTTCTGGCAAATTACATGATGGAAGTGTGTTCTCGTTTTGCCAATTCTTTCGCTAGGATTCGAACAGACGTTACGAGTTGTGCTTAGACAGTAGGTTCTGGTTTACATATTCATAATAATTAATAAATCTTGAAGCATTATGATTGAGTAAATTTGTTTCTAAAATCAAGCAATATAAGATTCAATGACTATTTTATAAATATGCGATTAGAACAAGACAAATTTCAAGTTTATATGAAATTCCATCAAGTGCAAATACCGTGCTTGTTTTTCTTTTCTTTTTTTGTATAAAATAATTCATACTTAGTTATGTTGTTATCTGTTTATTTGACTCGATTTCTGTACAAGAATATTTTCTCCCTCGAATATACATAATTGATACTATTTATATGATGAATGACTCGTTTCTGTCGGTTGCATATATTTTATGATCATGTCTATTCAAATGAAAGGTTATTTAAGTGCATACTATACTTGATAGTAGATAGTTGGGCTTGAAATATAACTTTATATATAGAATCGTAAACAAACATTTTTCATTTTGATTGTTTTTTCGATAAATAATCAGCTTTTACGAGTAATATTTTTATAGTTTATAGAATAGAAAGAAAAAAAACAAAGACAAAGGCTTATGAAGGCGTATCTTAACAAACTAAAAAAAGAAAATACGACGGACAAATTCAACAAGCAAAAATTCATTTATAAAAATTTTCTCCAAACTAATAATCTAATTATTCAAAAATACAATCAATAAACTTCAACTATTATTGATATATGTGCAACATATAATGATAACGTTTTTTCCATTTGATATACTATAATGTACAATAATAAAACATTCATAGTGCTTAACGATTGATTTGTTTTCTGATATTTAGACAATTTTATAATGATATTTCAAGACTTTTTTTGTCAAGAGTATATTGAAATGTCATTCATTCATCATAATAATATGCTTGATATTGTACAATAATTATATATAGATCATGCCTCTTGAAATTGAAAAAGAAACTACCAACGATTATATGTGTTAACAAAAGATATGATGATTATATCATCTGCAATATATACAGGACGAAACCAAAAAAAGAATTTTTTCTTGTTGATGTTTAGAGTTACCTATGAAAGAATGTAAAACAAGATATTTAAGTATCCGTTTAGTGAATATGTAGTAGTATTGAAGGTAGTG